AACTTGTAAATAGAACAACATTTATTTTTTGTAAATCAGTGTTGAAAATCCCTATTTAGGGAACACAATAAAGTATGTATGTATGTATGTATGTATAACTACTTGTTCTCTCAACAATGGTTCTGTCAGCAAGACGAGTGGTTTCTGCTTGCATGTATCCTCTGGTCAAGCAAAGTAGAATGTTTTTGACAATTAGCATTAAGTTCGAAGACGATATGGCCGGAAAGATATACCAATGTATACCATGATAATATATGGAATTGCTGTTCGGATTTGGGAGCGGTTATCTATATACTCAGATCGATTATTTCAGAACATTCATCAACATCTGGTAATAAAAATAGGAATAAATGAGTTATTTTACAAACCAGCTGAGAGTGATTCGGTGACTTAGCCATATTCAATACCTGAGCAAATTCTTCCATCACCTACGTGCCCATTGAGGCACTGACAGCTGTATGAACCTGGAGTGTTGGTGCAGTTTGCATTGGTGTTACACTCATTGGTCGACTCATTGTAACATTCATCAATATCTGTTATTAAACATAGGAATAAATGAGTTATATTACAAACCAGCAGAGAGTGATTCAGTGGCTTGGCTATATTCAATACCTGTGCAATTTCTTCCATCACCTACGTGCCCATTGAGGCATTGACAGTTGTATGAACCTGGAGTGTTTGTACAGTTTGCATATATGTCACATTCGTTATTTGATTCCTCAGAACATTCATCGATGTCTAGAAAAATGACGAGATAATACAAATTTAGAAATTGATAGCAACACATAGACATTTATTTAAGAGACGTACGAGTCAATGAGCCATTTATGATAATCTATACCTGTACAAACGTTTTCGTCTCCACTAAACCCAGTGCGACATCGGCATTTGAATGAGCCAAGAGTGTTGGTACAATTTGCGTTTGAGTGGCATTTATTGCTTGATTCCTGGGAACATTCGTCGATGTCTGGTAAAAGAATGCGCGTTTAAAAGGTTCGAGTTAGGCGAACATTTTTCTGATAAGAATTTAAGTTATTTCAAGCAGAAATTCATGCGACTTAGACTCGAGTTGGAATTTTTGTGATTTGCGACTTGACTTGTTAATCAGATTAATAACTCGTGACTTGATTGAGACATGTACACTAACAAGATGACTAATGATACTTTAGACACTAACAAAATGACTAATGACTTGACCTGGTCACTGTCAAAATGATTTGTGACTTGACTCAGACTAAATGATTGTGATTAACTTAGATTTGCAAGAAGTGACTTGTGACTTGAAACTCTATACGACATTGACTGGAATAAAGGGGGCAATATCGTAAGACAATCTGTGTTACCGTTTTCACAAAACTCTCCTTCGTATCCCTCTTTACATAGACAAGCGAAAGGTTTGACTGGATCCCAGATCATTGTTCCACCATTGTGACATTCATTCACTTCTCCTCTGCAGGTTGCCTGGAATATACAGACACAGATACAGATATTGCACAGCACACTCCCTATCAGGGTTTTTTAGTGACTGGTTACATTAGAACCGGAACTGGGGTGAAGCAGACCGAGGTAGACTGTGAGCTTACAAATGGCGCTTTGAGCAGCCGTTATTAGTCCATACCTCATTAGTGATCTGCCCCCTGACGTATGTGTTTAACCCGCCCTGTCAACTTTCCCTGTGGGAGAAAACCAGAGTATCCGGAGTAAGCCCACAACTTTCGGCAGAGCGTTGACATTTACTCTTTTCACGTGAGGACTGGGTTCTAGTCACATCGGGGAGTCCTCATTGAGATTTTAACCTGCGACCTTAGAGGTGAAAGGCAAGTGCGCTAGCCACTTCGCCACCAAAGCCCCTTCATATTTAATATATTACATTGCATGGTCACAAACATACTGGTATCCATTTTAGAGACAGAATTAACTTTTAATTCCAGGAAAGTTATGTTTTTGTTTCTCGCAGCAGATTCATATTTAATCAAAATTTAAGTACACTTGCTCCCTTAACTTTTTCAAGAAAAAAATGTGGCATAGCATTTATTGGTCGGTTGAGTCGTAAACAGTTTCATGTAAACTTTTGTTAATAATATTTCCATGTTTCAAGCGGATATCCGCTGTATACATGGGCATCGCTCCTATTACCATTTTCGAGCTTCCGTGAATCGTGCATTTGAAACGATGTTTCTTTCCCGAAGTTAGTCAATCAAAACTTTTTGTTTTGGTGATAAAACGTTTGTGGGTGTGGTATGAAACGTCACTGTTTTGCATGCGAAACTTCTGGTTCGAACCGCGAAAGTGCAATTCTCGCAGCAGATTCATATTTAATCAAAATTTAAGTACACTTGCTCCCTTAACTTTTTCAAGAAAAAAATGTGGCATAGCATTTATTGGTCGGTTGAGTCGTAAACAGTTTCATGTAAACTTTTGTTAATAATATTTCCATGTTTCAAGCGGATATCCGCTGTATACATGGGCATCGCTCCTATTACCATTTTCGAGCTTCCGTGAATCGTGCATTTGAAACGATGTTTCTTTCCCGAAGTTAGTCAATCAAAACTTTTTGTTTTGGTGATAAAACGTTTGTGGGTGTGGTATGAAACGTCACTGTTTTGCATGCGAAACTTCTGGTTCGAACCGCGAAAGTGCAATTGTGTTTTAAAAGTTACTGTATCAGTGCCTGCCTCCATTTGTGTCCCTGTAATACTTGCATTTAATAACTTTTCCTTTACCGGAGCCATTTTGCCACGATAGAACCCGTGCGGGGCATGCGAATGTGAAAATTGTGCATACAGAACAACTAGTTTGCGCCCTATAAATGCAATACCGTAAAATTCATTTTATAATGCTTACCAATAAACTTCTGTCGGCATTAACCTTTCGAAAACTCCAAACTTTGTCTTCCTTGCTGGAATTTTCGTCAAATTCTTGTTTAGTCGTGTTGGTCAATTGGCAGTTCGGTTTATTTTCGTCAACTTTCTCCTTGTAGTTAACAGCAACACAGAAACGGTGTATTACACAACGATGGACACAAAGCATGTAAGTCGGTTCTGTGAATTGAGCGATGATGTTCGTTTTCAATCTGGACACGCCTTAAGAAATATCAATTTGTTCAATACAGGAATAGTTTTGTCGCAATGATTGATCGCAGTCAGTTGTATTATATATTATATAAGTCACAATGAACAATACTCTTCCCAGCCAACTCGTATAGTATACAACTTAATATAGTATATATGGTTTCGTTGGTTATAAAAACTTTCGGCAAAGTACTCAAAGGAAAACCAGAGCATATTTAAATTAAGGTATAACAAATCAACAAAATACACTAGGCTTTTTTATTACTAAATAGTTTCGTACCACAAGATGTGGCACTCAAGACTTACCTATGAGACTGGGTGAGACTTGAGTGGGTGAGACTTATCCTATTTACAAGCGCGCAATTTAATTAACATGTTATGTGATAAGCTGACAGGACGCGGAAAGATTAACACGCCGCGGTATATTTAAATGTCTAGCTTTTAAATGTTACTTAAAAGGAATTTTGTATTATGCCAACATGCAGAGACAAACTATTATAACCACCCAGTCTGTGTCTCAGTACACAATGGCCCGAACCCTCAAAGGATCCTGGGATACTACACTCCTCCCTTCCCAGTGTCCAATAATCTGAACTACACTGTATCTAACAAAATAGAATGTCAACTTTAACTAAATGTGATATTAAATAATGGTTTATAACAAGTTCAACTTAGCTGTTTGCTAGTTCATAGTCCTGCAAATGTTGAGGAAGACGACGGTCTCTATGGGGTTGTCTTCTTTGTTCTGCTCTCGCTTCAAGTTCGGGTTCTTCCCGTGGTTCTGCAGGATTTACCTCCCTGGTTGGTAGTTGAATGTCTTCCAATCCACTCGCTATAGTTGTTTGAGGAACATCAGTGCGAATGCGGAGATGATCTTGGTGACGCCGGATAATTAGACCATCATCAATCTGTATTTCTGCCGACACTGGTCCTGTCTTCTTCACTACCATCCCGGGCATCCAACTTTTAGGTTTCCTGAAATCTTTCGCATATACTAGGTTCCCGGTTTTGATATCCGTTCTCTAGCATGATAGTCATGTACTGCCTTTTGCTGTGATTGTTTTTCCCTCACCCGATCTCCGAGGTTTGGCTGTATCATATCCAACTGAGTACGCAGGTGTCTGCCCATCAACAGCTCCGCTGGCGGCACACCCGTTGTCGTATGGGGTGTAATACGGTATTTCAGAAGGAATCGCGATAGTTTTGTTCTCATACTTCCTTCCTTCATCTTCTCAATGCCCTCTTTAAAAATTCTCACTGCACGCTCTGCTTGCCCATTTGATGCTGGGTGGTATGGTGAAACTTTGATGTGTTTAATACCATTTTGCTTCATAAATTCTTCAAATTCACTGCTCGTGAAATTTGTTCCATTGTCACTGACAACTGTTGTCGGTAGCCCATGTGTGGCTAAAATCTCGCGTAGTTTCTCAATGGTTGCTGTAGACGTAGTGGATGTCATCTGGTGAACTTCTAGCCACTTAGAATATGCATCAACCACTACCAGAAACATTTCACCTTTGAATGGTCCTGCATAATCAATATGAAGCCGTGTCCAAGGATGTCCTGGCCACTCCCACGGATGGAGTGGTGCAGCTGCTGGAGTTGTATGATGCAGTCGACACTGATTGCAATTCTTCACTTCGCTCTCAATATCTTCATCAAGAGTAGGCCACCAGACATAGCTTCTTGCGAAGGCTTTCATGCGGGAAACCCCTGGATGTGCTTCATGCAGCTCCGTTAAGATCTTTGATCGTCCTGGGGGTGGAATGATAACTCTCGTACCCCAGAGTAAACAGCCATCCTCCACACTTAACTCAAACTTTTTGTTGTGGTAAGATTTAAATGTTGTGGAATCATAGGACTCTGGCCAACCTTGCATTGTGAAACGAAGGACTTTTGACATAACTGGATCTCGTTTGGTCCACTCTCTTATCTGATTGCTGTTGACTGGTGTTTCTCCAAATGTTCCATCAGGAGGATTGTTTCACCTGGCTGTGGCGTTGACAGTGGCATCTTTGGTAGGGGTAGTCTACTCAATGCATCTGCGTTCCCATTGTTTTTCCCGGCTTTATATTGTATCTTGTACTCGTATGTTGCTAGTGTGAGGGCCCATCGTTGAATTCGTGGTGCTGCCTGAGTGGGGACTCCTTTTTTGTCGCTGAGTAACCCTTCTAATGGCTTATGGTCTGTTTTGATGGTAAATGAATGTCTGTAAAGAAATTTGTGAAACTTCTTAACGCCGAAAATCGTGGCCAATGCTTCCTTTTCGATTGTCGAATAATTTCTCTCAGCTGCGTTTAAAGACCTTGAGGCATACGCTATCGGATTTTCTGTCCCATCAGGAAATACATGTGACAAAACGGCCCCAACTCCGTAATTCGATGCATCAGTCGCTAAGTAAGTCATGAGTAAGTCAGCTGACTGTAGGAGCTCTTTTGCATAGTGAAATGCCGCCTTCTGCTCTTCTCCCTACTTCCACTTGGTTCCCTGTCGTAGTAGTCTGTGTAGTGGCTCTAGGATCGTTGCCACATTTGGTATAAGAATCTGTGATAGTAGTTTAGCATTCCAAGAAATGATCGTAATTGGTTAATGTTCTCTGCATAGATCTCTTATATACACTAGATAGTGCATCTAATTATTCTCCAATTCAAAAATTGAAGCCGTGATTGCAGTCTCAGGTCGTTCCCATGAAATGAGAAGATTCGTATGTTTTCTATTTCTTAAACAGGGAACTTAAACATTAAGTTACCCCTATTCCAAATACATTTTCAAACTATTCAAATAATGAAAGTTATTGTTGTTTTTAAGCGTTTATTAGCAAGTGGGAACGACCAACATGGCCGCCATCTATTCAAATGGGGGTAACCGCTGGAATATTCTTGGCTTCAATTTTACTAAATGAGATGCGCTATCTAGTGTATATAAGATATCTATGGTTCTCTGGCTCTGATGCTTTCGTGATGGCTTCGACTTTTTCGACCACCGGATGGATTCCGTTCTCGTTTATTCCATAGCCACAATGTGTCACGTCTGATGCCATGAAACAACATTTGATCTTCTTCAATCTTAGGCCCGCTCCAGACAGTCGCGTCAACACTGCATTCAAATTGGATAGGTGATCTGCATCGTCTTTACCGCCTACCAGAATATCATCTACTCGCACAATGACACTTGGAATACCTTGAAGTAAGTTCTCTAGTGTCCGCTGGAATATACCTGGGGCCGAGGATATGCCAAAAGGTAAGCGATTATATTGGTATAGTCCCTTATGAGTGTTAATTATGGTGTACTTCTTGGACTCCTCGTCTAGCCGCAACTGTTGGTAGGCCTGTGACATATCCAACTTAGTGAATTTTTGGCTTCCACTAAGGGTTGTAAGTAGATCTTCCGTCTTCGGTATTGGGTAGTTGTCTAGTTTCGAAGCTTGGTTAATTGTTGCTTTGTAATCACCACATACGCGGACCGATCCATCTGGTTTGGCTACTGTCACTATTGGCGAAGCCCAATCTGAAAATTCAGCTGGAGATATGATTCCCTCTCGCTGTAGTCTCTCTAATTCTTGTTCCAGTGGAATTTTCATGGCAAAAGGAACTGGCCTAGCCTTCACAAATTTGGGTTGTGCATCTTGATTTGCATAGATTTTTGCTGTTGTTCCTTCCAAAGTACTTAATTCTTCGGTAAAAACCTCTTTGTGGGTTTCAAGAACTTCCTTCAATTCACTGCAAGGATGACATTAATTTATTTGGAATATTAAGGCCCAGTTCATTTTGATTACACGCAACCAATGTCGGCCCAACAGATTTGGACCTTGACCTTTGACCACAAGTGCGAGTAGGTTATGCTGTTGGTTTTCATACCGTACTGGAACCATTACTTCGCCCGCTACTGGAATTCTCTCTCCGGTATAGGTGCTAAGAACGACTGTTGTCTTGCGAAGTGGTGTCAAATTCTTACATAGTTTGTTGTATGTTTCTTCACTTATGATTGTCTTAGTAGCTCCAATGTCTAATTCCATTTTGATTGGCTGGCCTTCAAGTTCTACATCAGTTGAAATCGATTTGTCTTATGTTTTCTCTCGAATATTGTACAGCGAATATTCTTCCTCTTGGGCACCTGTGCATTGACCATTTTTACTTCTGTATCCTGTTCACGTTTCCCTCGACTTCCGGTTTCGCGTCGCTGTGGCAACTCTGCTTGCTTTGTTCCTCGCCTTGTGCTACGACAAACCTTTGCAATGTGGCTGATTTTATCGCAGTTAAAACATTTTAACTCGCGAAATTTACACGAATTTGCTGCGTGCTTTCCCCCACAACGATAACATTCGGAGCGACTTGATTGCTGGTTGTCCTCACGGTTGTTTACACGATTTATATTATTTGGGTCTTCGATAGAAACTCCTTTGGCGCCCAAATCTTCGACGTGTTTTGATGCCGATTGCATAGCTAACGAAAGTTCAACTGCTTTCTTGTATGTTAGTTCAGGTTCTGCTAAGAGTCGTCTTTGAATCTTTTCGTTGTTGATACCACATACTAATCGATCCCGTATCATATCATCCAAGGAAGTGCCAAATTTGCAATGCTCGGTCATTCGACGTAATTCAGCCACATACTTAGCAATTCCTTCGTCAACACGGCGAATTCTGCTATGGAATTTAAATCTCTCTACAATGACGCTTGGTGTTGGAATAAAATGCTTTTCCAGTTCTTTGAAAATTTCTTT